CTTCTCAGATTATTTGCTCAGCATATAGATTGAATAAGTATGGGGAAAGGATACAACCCTGACACACTCCCTTCTTGATTTTAAACCATGTAGTGTCTCCTTGTTCTGTTCAAATGACAGTCTCCTGGTCAATGTACACAATTAAGTGCTCTAGAATCCCCATTCTTCTCAACATTATCCACAGTTTGTTATGATCCACACAATCAAATGCCTTTGCACAGTCAATAAAACACAAGTAAACAAACATCTTTCTGTTATTCTTTGCTTTGAGCCAAGATCCATTTGACAGAAGCTATGATATCCCTTGTTTCACGTCCCCTTCTAAATCCAGCTTGCACCTCTGGAAGTTCTCTGTCAATATACTGCTGCAACTGTTTTTTAATTATCTTCAGTAAGATCTTACTTGCATGAAATATTAATGATATTGTTTTATAATTTCCACATTCTGTGGAATCACCTTTCTTTGGAATGGATACAAACATGTATCTCTTCCAGTCAGTTGGCCAGGTAGCTATCTTCCAAATCTCTTGGCATAACCGAGTGAGTGCCTCCAGTGGGGCATCCGTTTGTTAAAATATCTCAATGGGTATTCCGTCAATTCCTGGAGGCTTGTTCTTAGCCAATTCCTTCAGTGCAGCTTCAACTTCTTCCTTCAGTACCATTGGTTCTAGATCATATGCCACCTCCTGAAATGGATGAGATTGACCAGTTCTTTTTGGAACAGTGACTCTGTGTATTCCTTTCATCTTCATTTGATGTTTCCTGCATCATTCAATCTTTTGCCCATAGAATCTTTCAATATTGCAACTCAAGGCTTAAATTTTTTCCTCAGTTCTTTGAGCTTGAAAAATGCTGAGCCTGTTTTTCCCTGATGGTTTTCTATCTCCAAGTCTTTGCACATTTAATTACAGTAAATGGCTTCATCTGCTTGAGCTGCCTTTGAAATCTTTTGTTTAGCTCTTTTATCTTGTCATTTCTTCCATTCGCTTTAGCTACTCTTTGCTCAAGGGCAAGTTTCAGAGTGTCTTCTGTCATCCATTTTGGTCTTTTTTTCTTTTCTCATCTTTTTAGTGACCTCTTGCTTTCTTCATGGATGATGTTCTTGATGTCATCTCACAATCCTGGTTTTCAGTCATTGTGTTCAGTGCATGAAATCTATTCTTTAGATGGTCTCTAAATTCAGGAGGGATATATTCAAGGTCATATTTTGGCTCTCATGGACTTGTTTTAATTGTCTTCAACTTCAAGTTGAACTTGCATATGAGCAGTTGATTGTCTGTTCCACAATCAGTTTCTGTCCTTGTTTTGGCTGAAGATATTGAGCTTCTCCACCACCTCTTGTCACAGATGTAGTCAATCTGATTCCTGTGTATTCCATCTGGCAAAGTCCACATGTATAGCCGCCGTTTTGAATTGTTGAAAAAAAGTATTTTCAATGCATAAGTCATTGGTCTTGCAAAATTCTGTCGTGGGATTTCCAGCATTATTTCTGTCACCAAGGCCAAGTTTTCCAACTACTGATGATTCTTCTTTGTTTCCAACTTTTGCATTCCAATCACCAGTGATAATTAACACATCCTGATTGCACATTTGGTCTATTTCAGACTGCAGAAGCTGATAAAAATCTTCAATTTCCTCATATTTTGCTTTGGTAGTTGGTGCATAAATTTTAATAATAATAATTAATTGGTCTTCCTTGAAGGAATAGGGATATTTACCTATCACTGACAGCATTGTACTTCAAGACAGATCTTGAAACATCCCTTGTGATGCTGAATGTCACGCCATTCCTCTTCAAATTGTCATTCCCAGCATAGTAGATCATGTGGTTTTCTGATTCAAAACCAGTGCATTTCAGCTCACTGATGCCTACGATATCAATCTTCATGTGTTCCATTTCATTTTTGACAACTTCCAATTTTCCTAGATTTATACTTCATACATTCCATGTTCCAATTATTAATGGATGTTTGTGCCTGTTTCTCCTCGCTTTGAGTCATGTCACATCAGCAAATGGAAGTCTCAAAAGTTTTACTTTTTCTGTATCAGTAAGGTTCTACTCTAATGATGCAGCTCTTTCCCAGTCATATTTTTAGAGCTTCCAACCTAAGTGGCTCGTCCTCCTGCACTGTATCTGGGCTATTAATAAAGCTGTACAGTAATATTTCTGGGCTATTCATAAAGTTGTACAGTAATGTATCAGACAGTATTCCTCTGCTATTCATAAGGTTTTCCCTGGCCAATTCTTTGAGATGTGGATGGCCTCTTCCTTCTTTCTAGTCTTTCTCAATCTGCAAGCCACAATGAAACCTGTGCATCATGTGCAACCTCACTGGGTTTGTAACACTGGTGGCACAGCCTCAAGCCTCACAGCAACACGCCACCACAGTATGATAAACCAACAGACAAGTTTGTCTCCCTTAGCTGTTCAAAACCTCTCCACCCTCCCCTTACATGGAAACCTGCCGCTTTCCTGCCACTTGGGGGTGGGTCCTGGGTCTCTCCCCTTACCTGGATCCCTGCCACTGCTTCCTTGCTCTGTCCTGGTCCCCCTGGCTTTTTCTCTCCTTTCCCCCACTTTCCTGCCACTTGGGGAGCTGATGGGATTATGAGTGTCTTTTATTCTATCATTACACTATTCTTTACCATCCACATGTTCTGCTTCCTTTTAGAGATAACCATTTGGGGTGGGGAGATGGAAGACTTGGCTTTCATTCTAGCCCTGGCAGCAAAATGCTTAAGCTTTTGACTGCTACTTGAAAGGTCAGAGGTTTGAACCCACCAGCAATTCTGTGAAAGAAAGATATCATAGTCTGATTCCAAAAGGATTTACACCCTTAGAAACCCTTTGCAACAGTTCAACATTGTCCTACATAGTCACTATTAATTAGAATCAACAGCAACAGGTTTGATAATTTTTTGGCAACCAAAATAGGCTCTGAGATTTTGATTAATTCATTCAATCTCTCCGTATGCTACTCTTTTTGTACAAGAGGATTAGAATTCAAGCTTTCAATATCTCTCCATGAGTTTCAGCATTGTTTTTCATAATGTAAGCATGGAGATGTTAAATAAACACCATGATCTGTTAAATTGTTGATTATTAAATTGGGGGGAGCGGGGAGAGAAGCAGTTTTCCCCTTGTTCTCTTGCTTTTGTTGTTGTTATTGTTTGCCTCTCAGTCTATTCCACCTCACAGTGGTCCCATATGTGCAGAGTAAAACTGCTCCATAAAGTTTTCATGGCTGTGACCTTTTAGAAACAAATCACTAGGTCTGTCTTTGGAGGCACTTCTGGGTGGGTTTGAACTGCCAATCTTTTAGTTAGTAGTCCAGTACTTGATCATTTGCACCACTCAAGGGTTCCTTCTCTTGCTTTTACAGGTCTATAAATTGCTACCAGTAAAGGAGGATCTAAGTCTTATGTATGGAAGGGTTATGAATGAAGATGATGATGAATGCATCAGTGTAGAAGACATTATTAGGAATGGAATCATTTACACACCAAAGCAGGCCCTGCCAGATGATGATGTCTACAGTATCTTCCAGGTAGTTCTTTTTCCTAAAAATATAAAGAAAGGTCATTCCTCAGCCTTTGTTAAGATGGAGAGTCAATGGACTTCTGAGTACTAGGATCTACTCCCTTCCTCCAAGCAAGCTATGATTAAGAGAAAAATATTGGAATCTCAGAATGACAGAGAATTTTTTATACATACAGATTTTCAAACATAAATTTCTCTGACATTGTAAATAGTATGTGTTTACTTTTAGGGCTCAAAACCTTAATCAAGTTGACCTCAGAGTTAATTATCACTGTCATATTCCCCTCAGTGACTCAAAGAGATTTTTTTAAATTTGACTTGTGTGAATGTTTACAAAGCAATTTAGTTTCCATTCAACAGTTCATACACATTTTGTTTTGTGACATTCATTCCAATCCCTACAGTGTAAAAACACTCTTTTCACTTCCTCCCTGTGTTTGACTCAGAGAT